GTTGTTTTGCTGCTGTCATCCCACTCCCAGTCCACCTGTCTGTGTCTCCGATGCACCATGGCAGGCAGGCGATCATGAGGGCGCATTGAGAGCATTCAGCATGATGAGGGAGAGGGCTGCACGCGCGCCATCACCACGTCCACCTTCAACAAGCTCATTCGCTCTCATCTCTCTCTGTCACTGTGTGTGGGATATGTGTCTGTCTGGGCGATGTTTCTGTGTCCGTCACTCTGCCTCTGTGTGTGATGCAGGCAGGGGACCACGAGGGTGCCTTAAAGGCCTTTAACATGATGAGGAAGAGGGGCTACACGCGCGCCATCACCACGTCCACCTTCAACAAGCTCATCCACTCCGCTGCTGCCGCCCCCTCCGCCTCCACTGAAACCGCCTTCCAGGTACGCCTGCCATCCAGGTACACTCTCCTCTGCAACCTGCCAGGTATACCTGCTGGCCTTGCTCCCTGTCGAGGAGGCGTGAAGCCCTCTGCCGAACTGCCCTTCCCCTCTCCTATCATGCACCCGCCTGCTCGCCCTTCCGCTAACTCCCATCCATCATTCGCTCACCCATCCTCCCAACCCTCCATCCCCCCTCCCCCATTTCCTCTCCCACCAGCTATACAGTCAGATGCGAGCGGAGGGCCACAGGCCAGACGTGGTGACCCTGGGCACGCTCATCACAGCCCATGGCAAGGACGGGGACGCAGCACACGTGCTTACCCCTCGACCCTCCTTCCCATCTCCCCCCTCCCCCCACCAGCTGTACAGTCAGATGCGAGCGGAGGGCCACAGGCCAGACGTGGTGACCCTGGGAACGCTCATCACAGCATGTGGCAAGGACGGGGATGCACCTACACACTGCCCATGGCGGTGAGGCAGGAGCTAGAGGCCGAGGGCGTGGGCGAGGGTGAGGGAGTGCCGCCTCATTCCCACCACTCCCTCTCCATTGCACTGCCCCGCTCACAAACCTCCTTCCCATCTCCCTGTCCCCCCCTTTCCCAACCCACCAGCTGTACAGCCAAATGAGGGCGGAGGGCCACAGGCCAGACGTGGTGACCCTGGGAACGCTCATCACAGCATGTGGCAAGGACGGGGACGCAGCACGCGCCATGGCGGTGCGGCAGGAGCTAGAGGGCGAGGGCGTGGCGCCCAACGCCGCGGTCTTCCACGCGCTCATGACCGTGCAGGGCCGCGCTGGCTTGTGGGCGACGGCCCTCGGCACGTTCCGTGAGATGCAGGGCCGGGCGGTGGAGTGGGAGAGGCAGGGGAGCAGCAGCAGCGCAGCGATTGGTGGCGCGAGAGAGGTGATTGTGGGGTGTTTGTATGGGCTTGTTGGGGTGGGGGGGGGGCGTTTCAGCTGGTCGTTGGTGCACCTGCACACTTGGCCACATGCATCCTCCGCTCGTTCTCTCCTTCCCCCCTCTGCTTCCTCTCTCCCTCCTCCTCCCTCTCTCACTGCGCCCCTCTGCTCCCTCTCTCACTGCGCCCCTCTGCTCCCTCTCTCACTGCGCCCCTCTGCTCCCTCTCTCACTGCGCCCCTCTGCTCCCTCTCTCACTGCGCCCCTCTGCTCCCTCTCTCACTGCGCCCCTCTGCTCCCTCTCTCACTGCGCCCCTCTGCTCCCTCTCTCACTGCGCCCCTCTGCTCCCTCTCTCACTGCGCCCCTCTGCTCCCTCTCTCACTGCGCCCCTCTGCTCCCTCTCTCACTGCGCCCCTCTGCTCCCTCTCTCACTGCGCCCCTCTGCTCCCTCTCTCACTGCGCCCCTCTGCTCCCTCTCTCACTGCGCCCCTCTGCTCCCTCTCTCACTGCGCCCCTCTGCTCCCTCTCTCACTGCGCCCCTCTGCTCCCTCTCTCACTGCGCCCCTCTGCTCCCTCTCTCACTGCGCCCCTCTGCTCCCTCTCTCACTGCGCCCCTCTGCTCCCTCTCTCACTGCGCCCCTCTGCTCCCTCTCTCACTGCGCCCCTCTGCTCCCTCTCTCACTGCGCCCCTCTGCTCCCTCTCTCACTGCGCCCCTCTGCTCCCTCTCTCACTGCGCCCCTCTGCTCCCTCTCTCACTGCGCCCCTCTGCTCCCTCTCTCACTGCGCCCCTCTGCTCCCTCTCTCACTGCGCCCCTCTGCTCCCTCTCTCACTGCGCCCCTCTGCTCCCTCTCTCACTGCGCCCCTCTGCTCCCTCTCTCACTGCGCCCCTCTGCTCCCTCTCTCACTGCGCCCCTCTGCTCCCTCTCTCACTGCGCCCCTCTGCTCCCTCTCTCACTGCGCCCCTCTGCTCCCTCTCTCACTGCGCCCCTCTGCTCCCTCTCTCACTGCGCCCCTCTGCTCCCTCTCTCACTGCGCCCCTCTGCTCCCTCTCTCACTGCGCCCCTCTGCTCCCTCTCTCACTGCGCCCCTCTGCTCCCTCTCTCACTGCGCCCCTCTGCTCCCTCTCTCACTGCGCCCCTCTGCTCCCTCTCTCACTGCGCCCCTCTGCTCCCTCTCTCACTGCGCCCCTCTGCTCCCTCTCTCACTGCGCCCCTCTGCTCCCTCTCTCACTGCGCCCCTCTGCTCCCTCTCTCACTGCGCCCCTCTGCTCCCTCTCTCACTGCGCCCCTCTGCTCCCTCTCTCACTGCGCCCCTCTGCTCCCTCTCTCACTGCGCCCCTCTGCTCCCTCTCTCACTGCGCCCCTCTGCTCCCTCTCTCACTGCGCCCCTCTGCTCCCTCTCTCACTGCGCCCCTCTGCTCCCTCTCTCACTGCGCCCCTCTGCTCCCTCTCTCACTGCGCCCCTCTGCTCCCTCTCTCACTGCGCCCCTCTGCTCCCTCTCTCACTGCGCCCCTCTGCTCCCTCTCTCACTGCGCCCCTCTGCTCCCTCTCTCACTGCGCCCCTCTGCTCCCTCTCTCACTGCGCCCCTCTGCTCCCTCTCTCACTGCGCCCCTCTGCTCCCTCTCTCACTGCGCCCCTCTGCTCCCTCTCCCCAAGCACAACCCCCTGGCGCCATCCCTCCCGGCGTACACAGTGCTGTCCCGAGGGGCCAGATGCATCCGCCCCTCATTCTCTGCCCGTCCCCTCGCCCGTCTTGCCCCTACCCTTGGCCCTGCAGAACCCCCTGGCACCAACCCTCCCGGCCTACACAGTGCTGTTTGACGCGTGCTTTGGCCCCGAGGGGGCGGATGCAACGATCAAAGGCCTCGTGGAGAAGGGTCAAAGGCTCTCCCTCACACCCGGTGAGTTTTGAGTTGAGTCAAACATTACCCGGAGGTGGGGACGGGAGGGAGAGTGGGCAGTGGGACTGGTACCTTCGGCAATTCTGGTGATGTGGACGGCGGGAGCAGGTGCTGCATACTGTGTGGTTTGCCTGCCTGATTGTTAGAACCTTTTCTTCTGGGAGCGCTGTGTCGGTGTGTATTGTGTTTCTTGTTTCTTGAGTCTTCATGCTCACATGCTCCTTTAGTCCCCCCTCCCGTTGCCAAGCTTCCTCCACTCCCTTCTATCCGCCCCCTCCACTCTCCTCCTCCATTCACTCCCGCCCAGAGCCCACATCCCGCGTTCTCTAGCCTCATCTACTCTTCCTCACCCTTACCTGTCTGCTACTCCCTTTCTCTCGCCCTCTTTCCGCATCAGCCCTGCTAGCAGCGGTGGAGGTGTACAGAGAGGCAGCACAGGCGGGCACCTTCTCACACTACGCCCTCACTGATCCCTACAGGTCAGACTCTTCACACTCCCTCACCCATCTGCACCACACACACCACTCCTTGCACCTGTTCCGACCACTCGCCGCCCCATCACATACATACACGCACACAACCTGTACCTGTGCCACGTCCGTTCCCCTGCTCCCCACTCACGCCACCCTCTTGCTCCCTCCTCCCGTAATCTGCTCTAATCTTGGCAGCGTCAATGCTCCCCTCCCCCTCCATCCCTGAATCTGCTCCCTTCACCCACCGTCTCCCCCCTGTGTGGCGTCACAGGTGTGATGTGCGCAGCTCCACTCGCCCTGTGGCCACTGTGGCTCTGCTCTCCCTCCTCATGCACCTTGCCTCTCCTGCCTCTTCTGCTCCTGCTGCTGCCGTTGCTTCCCAAGACGGTTCGTCTGCTGCTGCTGCGCCTGAACCTTCTGCCACTGCTGGAGCCCCAGCTGATGACTCGCTAGTGCGCGACTTGGTTATTGTAACAGGGATGTCGCGGGCGAAGGTGAGCTGTTGTGCACACCATGGTGCATCGATCGTGATGAGTCTACATTTGGTTTCATGTTCCCAGTATGTCAACTTCTCAAGCAGCTTCCCTCAACTCTGCACATAATAAATGTCAATCATCATCTTCCTTTTCTCCATGTGCCTTTCCTCTCATGCCTGTGTCATACACGCAGAACCAGCCAATAGGAGAGGCCCCAAGGGGCAGGTTTCCGAAGCTGTTTGTGAGTGTGGATCGCACGCTGCAGGCGGTGGGCCTCAAGGGCAAGAGCATGCGCGCGCTTACCATGCAAGCACTGTCTGTGGATGGCCAACAGCTCGCGCATTGGCTCAAGAATGGCGCAGCGGCTGTGTTTCCTGAGCTGAGGAAGTAGTGGTGGAGTACAAGTAGCGTTCTCTGGTTTTGTGTCAATATCTATAATGTGTTGTAAAACGTATGAAAACTATCGTCGCCCCAAACTTGTGGTACGTTCCCGAAGCTGTTTGTGAGTGTAAATCGGACGCTGTAGGCAGTGGGGTCCCGCACCGCACCGCATGCAAGGGCAAGAGCTTATACAATGGCTTAAGAAAGATGCTCCTGCTGTGTTTCCTGAGTTGATGAAGTATTGGTGGAATGTCTGGAGTTGAGTGTTGAGAGGGGCTGCGGGAAGTAGTGTTGCACTGTCCCTTGTTGGCGTTTTTGAGTGACAATATTTTAATTATTTGTTATAAAACGTATGAAATTCACGCTGTCAATTTCTTGCGGCTACAAACTCATGATGAAGAACTGTAACGCGTACAATGCAAACACAAAACCCTGTGAATTCGCGGCCTGTTCTCCGATCAATCAACAGGAATGGCCGACTCATGGCTGAGAGTGTCTCGGGAGTACCGCGCTGCGGGCATCCTGCCGTACAGCTTCGACAGCGACGGGCGGCTGCTCTTTCTGTTCCAAGCAGAGGCGAGCAAGAAGAAACCGCACGGGCGGAACGGGGTGCGGCGGAACACGCGACGAGGGATTGGGGCAGAAGGGGGTGGAGCGGTGGCGGAGCAGGTAAGGCGGGACGAGGGCGAGGAACGGGGCGCGCACGAGCGCGAGGAGCGGGAGCGGGAGCGGGAGGAACGGGATCGGGGGCAGCAGGGGATTGAGGAGTCGGAACGTCGTGGTGGCGCAGAGGACACGACGACCGCTGCTAACGGCGCGGATGGCGCGGACGACGCGGACGACGCGGATGGCGCGGGCGACGCGGATGGCGCTGATGACGGCGATGGGGGCGATGGCGCGGTTGGCGGCGGCGATGGCGGTGCGGAGGAAGACCGCGCGAGAACAGGCGATGAGGAAGCTGATCGCTTGATGTGCGCGGATGCCCGTTGCGCGCAGGAGAGCTCGTGCGCGGGCGCCCGTTGCGCGGAGTGGAGCTCGTGCACGGGAGGCGGGGGAAGAGCGCAAGGATGTTCGAGTGCTCCGCGCGCGGGAGAAGCGGGGGAGACGAGCGGAAGCGGTGGCGAGGGGAAAAATGAGGGGAGCGGAAGGGGAGTTGCGGAAGTGGAGGGTGGGAGAAGGAATGAGTGCGGAGATGAGGGGCGAATCGGAGCAGAGAGGAGTGGGAGAGGAGGGGAAGGAGGAGTGAAGGGTGGGAGAGGTGGGGAAGGAGGAGAGAAGGATGGGAGAGGTGGGGAAGGAGGAAGGAGGAATAGGAGAAGACAAAGGGGAAGAAGAGTGAACGCACAGGAGAGAAGGGTCTAGGTGTTGAGGGTGGAACGCGAGGGAATGGGCGAGAGGAGAGTGATGGGCGAGAGAGTGAACGAGAGAATGGGAAGCAAAAAGGTGAGCAACAAGAGAATGGGAAGCTGAGGAAGGAGGAGCAAGGGGAGTGGCAGCAAGAGAAAGAGCAAAGGCAGGGGCAGCAAGAGAAGGAGGAGCAAGGAGAGGGGAAGCAGGGGAAGGAGGAGCAAGGAGAGGGGAAGCACGAGAAGGAGCAACAAGCGAGGGAGGAAAAGAGGAGAAAGAAGAAGGAAAACAAGATACAACAAAGGGAGAAGCAGAAACAGCAGAAGCGGGAGCAGCAGCAACAGAAGGAGCAGCGGCAGCAAGAGCGCACGGGGCCGGTCTATCTGATGGACTTTGGCGGCAAGATAGAGGTGCAAGACAACCATGCACCCGCTCTCACCGCTGCTCGGTAGGCAACACCCCTGCCCTATCCTGTCGTGCCTTGCCTTGCTCTGCCTACTCTGCCATGCCCTGCCAGACCTTGTTTGTCCATGTCACATCTGTCCCTTGTGCTATGCCGCTCCAGCCATCCTCCCTCTAGCCCTATCATAAAGCCTGCTGCATTTCGTCCCAGCTCCAGCTCACATGCACCAACCCATCCATGCCAGCCACCACCCTGTTGTTCTCAGAGTGCTGTAGTTGTACCCTTTTCCATGTGACTGTATGCGATGTGTGCTTTTTGCTTATTCCTTATTGTGCAGGGAGTACGTGGAGGAACTTGAGGCTGGCTGTGAGAAGCTGGAGGGCGCCACGTGGCAGAAACGCGTTGCTGACGTGGCAGCAGCTCTGGACCAATCAGAGGCGTTCTATTGCCGGGCTAGCAAGTATGTCCTCTTTCTGTGCAACGAGAGGAGCCTCAGGGATAGCAGCAGGGATGTGACAGTAGGCAGTGTGACTGAAGGTGAAGCTACTCCAGATGGCGTGACAGAAACTAGTGCAGCTTGTCACTCCGACACAGCTGAAGCACCAGTAACAGCTTTAACTGCCGCTCAGCTAAGCAGCAGGTGGGTGGAGGCATCAGCTGTGGTGGATCATCTCTTATGTAAGCGTCGGCTGCAGCCGCCTCTGCATCTGAGGCTCTATCCTTCCGGCCCTATGGGAGGCATTCCAGCATTCGTGTATCACATTTTGAGGCTTCAAGTAATTGGTGCTCCTCCTGGCGTTGCCTCTCTCCCTGCATTAAGTTCGATCGAGCTACCATGCTGCATCGTTGATACCTCACTCAGCTCACCATCACTGAAGGCTTTACAACCAGCACTCGCGAGCTGAAGTTACTCCTGACTGCTCACATCTGTAAGCCATTAAGTCCCCTGTGCAATCAGTTGCATATCATTTACATAACAGCTCTCATGAGTTTAGTTGTTGGATGGAAACTGCTGCAGATAGGGTTCCTTAATTAATAACCCACAGAATAATGAGAGTTGTGAAATTAATAACTAGTATAGAAGGATTGGTCGGACATCTAGCGGGGATGGATGGGTTTCGGGACCAACTTGTCGTTGTGCGAACAACAGCTGGCGGCCACCTGGAGACTGTCGTTACATTATCGTTCTGTGTGACCTGGCGTGTCAAATGGATCCTCCCTGGTTGCAGTTCCAGTGGGCCAAAGGTTTCACGTCCGGACAAATCACGTGCGGACATTCAGCTGCGCGAAAACCAAGGCGAATCGTCGTCTCGAGCAGGTTCAGGTCACCGTTCCTCAAATTTTGAAGTGCTGAGTTGGTTGGCCTCAGCCACCAATCACAGAGCCGTACGGTGAAATGAGCTGTCAAGTGCATTTTCCTCCAATCCCTGCCGTACAGATTGCAAGTCAAGAGCACGAATGCCCTTTCCAGGGCCAGGTGTACTGGCTACATCGGCCCTTTGCCGTACCGTACCGTACCACCTTGGTTTTCCCTGCTCAATTTGTTGTGACGAGACGACCGTCAGATTGAAGGGGCGTTTGAAGGGGCGTTTTCTCTGTTCGATAGCCTAACGGAACGGGAACGGCTGGGGTTTTCCCTGAGAGCTAGTTTCTTGGGAGGATATCCTTCGCGCTGGTTGTGTCTTGAGCCCGTCTCTTGACTTTTCTCACATGGAGGTCCTTAGCGGCACGTTCGGTGATCCAATGAGCGGCATTCGCAACGCGGCTGAGGCCCGAGCGGAGATCGCGCGAAGAGTCGTTTCTAATTTGCGATCCGGCGCACACCCCAATCTTTTCGCAGAACCCAACGAATTTTCCGACCTAGTAGAATTTGCCGACGAGGCAAACTGGACCGACTCGAATCGCTTCGACGAGGAACTTCCACTGGAAGCGGTCGGCCATGCGGAATGTCCTGCGAGCGCTGCGCCGCTGCGGCGAGGGAAGTCGCTGGGATCTGCGAAGCAGAGCTGCCACGCGGACAACGGCGATACGCTGTCGCCCATGTCCCCGCGCATTGATTCCGAAACCAACGTATGGGAAGATTTCTGGCGTGTCGGGGGTGTTGCCGGTGCGGGGGAAGACCTTACGCGGGTGGCGCGCGCGGGTGGCGCGCGGGAAGAGCTAGCGCGGGTGGCGCGCAAGGTCGTGGCGTCCGTTCCCGCTGCCGCTTCTCCGCGCTCTCGCCGTAATTCTCCGCCGAGCGCGTCGGAGAATGCGGCGGAGCGAGAGGAGGGCGAATCAGACCTGTACGGCGTGGATGCATCGGCCGCTACTGATAATGCTTACGGTAGACGTGGCGACAGCGAGGAATGCTTTATCGGGGATGAAGATTCTCCCCATTACGTGGGAGCGGGGGATTGGAAAGCAGACGGGCCGGGACTATCGGCGGAGGAAGAGGAGAATGTTAGAGGCGGCGGTTACGGCGTCGGGGAGGAGGGGAGTGAGAGTGGCGGAATGGCGGAAGGCGAGGGGGACCTGTACGGTTACGAGGAGGAGGGCGCGGAGGACGCGAACGAGGATGACGAAGCGGATAATAACGAGGATATGTATGGCGGTGACGGTAGCGACGGGGAGGGGGAATTGAGCGCGACGGAGCGGGAAGAGGGGGACCTGGGTGGGCGCGAGGGGAGTGCGGCGGGGGAGGGAGTAAGCGGGGAGGAGGAGTGCGAGGGGGAGGATTTGTACGGCGAGTGCGGGGATAGTGACGCGGAGGAGGGGGAGGAACAGGCGTGGGGGGACGACTGGAGCGGTGGCGCGGGCGACATGCGGGAATTAGATGAGGGGGATGCGGAAGAGCGCGGAGAGGGAGGGGAGGGAGGGGAAGGGGTGGGCGGAGATGGGGACGTGTATGGGGGGTGGGGAGAGGAAATGCACCTGCAGCAGGGCGCGTGGGAGGTGGAGGAGGGAAGGCTGTGGGAGGAGGTGGGTGAGGGGAGCGAGGAGGAGAGAGGTCAGGGTGAGAGGGAGAAGGAGCAGGAAGGAGGGCGGGAAGCAGGGAGTGCAGGGGATGGGAGTGCGTTCGTGACTTCGCCTCCACGCACCTTAGAGCCGCCGTGTGCGGAGGATGCCCCCTGCTTGAGCACGCTCTATCAGCAGCTGTGCCACGTGGAAGAGCGCGCTGCCGAGGAGTACCCTGGCTCTGAGGATCTGTACGAAGCCACGTCAGCACACGCCAGTGACACGTCAGCATTGGACGAGGCAGCAGCGGGCAGAGAAGGCACGGCGGCAGCAGAGGGCAGCCACAGAGTGGCGCGGCATGGCGGCCTGGCCAAACCTAGCTTGTCCCATCCTAGCCCGTCTCATCCTACCCTCCCTCATGCTGCCGCCCTGCCGCATGCCACCCTGCCACATGCCGCCCTGCAGGGCTTCCGGCAGCGGGTGCGCCTCTCATTGGACGTGGAGGTCGATGCTGACTCATCCTACCTCGCCGATGACGTCAGCGGTGACGACTTCGGCTTCACTAGCGAGGATGCTATTAGCGAGGCGCAGGGCAGCGAGGGGGGCGTGCCGGGCGGAGCAGCAGCAGTGGCTCGGTATCTGGCGGAATGCGCTGCTGAGGGCGCTGACGGGGGCGACAGTGGGGGGAGAGGCATGCAGGAGGGGCACGATGCATGTGGCAGTCCCGAATCGCACCCGGCATTTGATGGCGATGGCGCTGGTTTTGGTTGTGGCTTTGATAATGCTGGTGCTGGTGCTGGTGGCGGTGCATGTGACATCTATGTGCATGTGCAGCGCGCACAGGGGAGCGAGTGCGAGTCCGGAGGGGAGCTATCCGCGCACACGCTCAGCAGCAGCAGGGGTAGCAGCGCTGGGGAGGCGTCGCATGCTGCAGGCATGGGCATGGCGATGCATGGAGGTGGGGTAAGCGGTGTGACGAGCAGCATGAGACATGTGGGGCTGAGCCCGCTGGGAGGAGCAGGCAGGCAGCAGGGCGAGGCGGTGGGAGTGGGTTTCAACGACCCGGCACAGGGCGTGGGAGTGGGGCAGTATGACGGTGCTGCATTGCTCTCCCATGCCAGTCTCAGCCCTCACGGCCACAGCCCTCACAAGCGCATTAGCCCTCACAGCAACATCAGTCCACAGAGCAACGCCAGTCCACATGCTTTCAGCAGCCCGCACCACATGAATAGCCCCCCCAGCAACTTCAATTCGCACATCAGCGTCACCCCCCTCACCAACCACAGCCCTCACACCAACCACAGCCCCCACACAAACGTCAGTCCCCACAGGAATAGTCCTAGCACTTTTCAAGGGCACTCGAACCGTCACAATGTTCCTGTATCGTCCCTCTCTCCACACGCCCTGCCTTCGTTGCACGAGGGGCATGAAATGGGACACGTAGGGCAGATGGGGCAGCAGGCTTGGTTGCAGCACAACTGGCAGCAAGAAAAGCAGCAGCAGCAACAGCAGCAGCAGCAGCAGTGGCAGCAGCAACAGCAGCAGGTAGAGATTCAGCAGCAGCAGAAGCAGGCAGCACAAGTTTCGCCATCCCCACAATCTCGACTGGCCCGAGCACTCTCCATGCAGCCTGCCCGAGCACTCTCCATGCAGCCTGCTGCCTCCTCCGGAGGCTGCTCCGGCTGCTGCTGCTGCTGCTGCTGCTGGGGCACTGAATGGCGCTCCGCCACTAGCCCAGCATTTACCCCACAACTCCCCAACCGGTGCGTTTGCAAGCAAGGGGGCAGCAGCAGCAGCTCGACTGGCCCGCACCACTTCAATGCAGCCTGCTGCCTCCCCTGCTGTTTCTGCGGGGGCACTGAATGCCATTCCACAAGCCCAGTACATTCCCCAAAACTCTCCAACTGGTGCGTTCACACATGCTACGAGCACTGCAACAGCAGCAGCTCGACTAGCCCGCACCACCTCCATGCAACCTGCTGCATCCTCTGGTCCTGCTTCTGCTGCTGCTGGGGCACTGAATGCAGTTGCACCACAAGCCCAGTACCATTCCAGCAACTCCCCAACCGGTGCGTTCGCACTTGCTACAAGCACGGCAGCAGCAGCTCGTCTGTCCCGCACCACCTCCATGCAGCCTGCTGCCTCTTCCTACTCTGCTGCTGCTACTGCCACCTCTCCATATTCCACCACTGCTGCTGCTGCTGCTGCTGCTGTTTCTCCGTTTTCAGCTGCTGCTATTGCAGCGGGGGCAGTGCAGGGCGGTGCATCCCACGGCAAGCAAGTGCATGGCCTCTCTCCCACGGGTGCCTTTGCTCGCTCTGCCACCATGGGGGCAGCAACGCAAGCGATGCCTGCAGCAGGCAGAGGTGGGAGTCAGGCTGTGCGGGGTTTGCAGGTGGAGTTGCCTGGTAACTCGCCCACGGGTGCCTTTGCTCGTTCAGTGAGCACAGGGGCAGCAACGCAGGCAGTGCCTGCAGCAGCCAGGGGTGGGGGCCACGCCATGCGGGGACTGCAAGTGGAGTTGCCTGGGAATGGGGGTAGAGGTGGCGGTAGGAACACGAGCAGCACCAAAACCGCAGGTGGCACTGGCAAGAAGGTGAGCGCTCATCTGACAGGCGCTAGTGGTGCTGCTGCTGCTGGTGGTGCTGGTGGTGGTGGTGCTGCTGCTGGTGGCAGTAACAGGGTGACTGCGGGTGGTGGTGCAGAGATAGGGAACAAGGCTGCACTGAGCAAGTCCCCCTCTCGTGCTCGCCTGGCGTCGTCCCTCTCCCCACCCTCTCGGCGTATGAATGACCTTCTCTCTGCCTCCACCCTACCAAGAGTCCCAGTAAAGACACCCAAGGGTGAGAAGGGGGGTGGCAGTGGGACTGCTGAGGGTGGGGGTGGCAGAGGGAAGGTTGGGGGAGGGGAAGGTGGTGGTGGGGTGGGCTACACCACGGGGAGGTTACTGCAGGCAGAGCAGCTGAGGAAACGGCAGCAGCAGCAACAGCAGCAGCAGAAGCTGCAGCAGCTGCTGGTGAAGGACAGTCCGAATAAGGCCGCCCGATCCAGCTGCAACAACGCTGCAACAAGCAGCACCGCCACCACTCCTGCCGGCAACAACAGCAGCACTCCTGCGTTCAATCGGTCTGCTTCTCTCGCACGCACCTCCTCCAAGCTCATGCGAACAGCCTCGGCAGTGGGTGCACAGGAGAAGACGGGGAAGAGCGGTGGCGGTGGTGGTGCTGCTGGCGGTGCTGGTGTTGGAGAAGGGACTGGGAGAGGAGGGGCTGCAGCCGCACTTGCCAGAAGTAACAGTACTGTCGCTGCAGCAGCACTTGCCAGGAGTAACAGCAGCAGCAGCAGCAGCAGCAGGGGCGGAGGCAGGTGCATCTAGGACAGGCCTGCAGCGCAGCAAGAGCGGAAAGAAACTGAAGGCGGCAGTGGGGAAGACCGGTGCTGCGAAGTCACCTGTGCCGCCTGCAAGGGCAGCTCAAAGGGTGTATGTCGGCAAGTAAAGGGGATGTAACCAGGTGTACCATACGGTAGCTATTCTGTTGAATGGACAAAGCCCATGTGACCTGCATGCATACCCACCCAGCAATGTTAGAAAGATAAATCAAATTAATAAAATATGACCATAATAATCAACATACGGTAGCATATCTATCATAAAGCATGCGATGCGAGTCCTCTACGCCAGGTCCTGATCCTAGTACCTACCACAAGAAATCAAATGGGAGATCTCGTATGTGCCCAATGCAATCCACCCAATGCAATCCATCCAATGCAATACACCCAAGGTGCTGTGCATGAAGTACCAGGCGCACAGTGCTGTGTGCCCGATGAACAAAGTGCCTGCACACTACTGCCTGCCTAGTGCCCGCCCCAGCTTGCAAAGAATCCTCTCAAGTGGCCCTTCTTTCCATGCCCTGCCACTGCCACTGCTCCCATCTCCCCACCTGCCCTACCTGCCCCTGCTGCTACTGCTCCTGCTGCTGCCACCGCCACAGCATGTGGCACTGGTGACCCCTCTGCAGGCCCACCCAGCTCCACCACACGCACCGCATTCCTGGCAGCCTGCGCCTTCACCCGCCTCTCCTCACTCATACTCCTCTCAACCACTCCCCCTCCCCTCCCCCCACCACCATCCCCACCAGCCCCCATACCCTGCCCTGCCTTCACCCCAATCCGCCCCCCAGCCCAAACCTGCTGCACTGCCGGGCCTAAGCTGCAGCTTCGGAGAGGCGGGCCGACGTTGATGGGTTTGGGGGGGGAGCGGGGGCTATCAGCAGAGCACCAGGGGATATCGAGCATGGGCAGGGAGGGAAAGTCTCTTCTAGCAGGGGGAACGCCTACAGGAGTCTGGATTTCTGTGGGTGAGAGAGGCTCTACAGGGTATAAGTCAATTAACCCGTTTGGGAGGAAGGGTGGTGTGGGTGAGGGGGCTTTAGCTGACATGGACCGTGGCATTGCGGTTCGGCTGCTGCTACTGGTAGAAGGCGATCCGTTATTGGCAGATCCGTTACTGGGATTGAGACGACCGGACTGTGCGCGGCGGAGGGCTTTCATCTGAAGTTTCCCAGGTCCGGGTTGGCGATAGGCGTAATCCGGCTGCCCGTTCATCTGCCCGTGAATATACCCCTGCCCGTGGCTGGGACCATGCTGCTGCTGGTAACCACCTAATGGAGTTCGTTCTAGTTCGTCATCTGGAACACTCATGCTTCGTGCAATCGCGGAGGGACGAACGTTCTGCCTCACAGGCTGTAGGCACTGCTGGTTACCAGGCTGGTTACCACTAGGCCGCGGCGCGTTACACCCCCCTGCAACACCAGCAGCACCACGAGGACCGATCCCCAGGCCTCCCTGCTTGCACCTGTCTAGATCCATCGAACCGCTCCCCATAGTAGCGCGATCCCCGCTGATGCACTTGCGCATTGACCGCGCCTGCGCGGAAGGCACCCGCCCACCCGCAGCGTTCCCCGCGGGCAACCGCGCCCCGCAATTCCCGCCGCCAGTACCGGCGTACGCGGCGTTGCTGCCATGCATTAGTTCCGCGGGCTCGTCGCCGCCAGAGACGCCGGCGATCGCGGCGGCTGCCTGGTCTAACGACGCCGCGGAAAGACTAACGGATCGATTCTTCGCGGGGACGGCGGCGGCGGAAGCGTAGCGCTTATGCTGCGGAGGCGGGGGTGCGCTGATGCGCAGTTGGCGGTGGTGATGCTGGTGCTGATGCTCGTGCTCGTGCTCCGCGGCGTAATGTCCCGCTGGCGCTCTCTGCGAATAGTCCACTGACGCAGCGGACGCCCGTGTCCTGCTGCGGGTCACATACGTATCTGCGTACTCGTGACTAGGCTCCGCGTTTCGGTTGGGTTCTCGGTAATCTCGATGCTCGGACCGGCCGGCGGACTGAGAGCGGCGGTAATTATTCGGCGGAACGCGCACGTGCTGCTGCTGCTGCGGCGCCTCCTCATACTGCTTCTGCTGGTGCGAGTGATGCCTTTCGGGGTGGGAAGCTGCGTGCGACGGCTGCTGCTGCGTCGCCGGCTGTTTCAGCGGACTAAGTCGTTCCCTCGCTCCTTCGTCACGGCGTGAACTATGATCCCTCTCCCGTTCCCTTTCTCGTTCGTACCCGCCGCGACTCGGAGTATTTCGCTGCTGCCGCCTCGCGCCGTCGCCGCTCCTGCTCGCTTCCCCCTTCCTCGCCGGCCTGTTCTGCGACGACCGGTTTCGCGACTGATTCCTGCACGACTCCGGCGACCGACTCGACCGACTCGACCGGCTGGACCGGCTCGACCTGGACGCGTTATCGTCGGAACCGCTCCACGATTTTGCGTCTCGCGGAGACTGCGTTGACTCCGGGGAACTCAACGACCGCCTTGACTCCGGCGAACACGGCGACCGCGTAGACTCGGGAGAGCGCGGCGACCGCGTTGACTCGGGGGAACGCGGCGACCGCGAGTCTGAGCGACGGCGTGAGCTGCCGTTCGAGTCGCGCCCCGTGTGGCGTCTATCGCTGCTTCGAGGCGACGAGCGATTGCTGCTGCCGTCATCGTCGCTGCCGTCAACGTCGCTGCCGTCAACGTCGCTGCCGTCAACGTCGCTGTCGTCAACGTCGCTACCCTCACTGGCCTCTTCGTTCTCGCTAAAGTCGTCGTCGGTACAGCTATCAGTAGGCTCGTCCTTACTCTCGTACTCAGTGCTATCTTCCTCCAAGCACTTCGCACTTGGCCGTCGGTCACGGCGGTCCGCTCTGTCCACACCGTCCCTTCCACTACCCGCTGCTCTCTTCTCCCGACCGTTGCCGCTACTGCTAGCGCCTCTGCCGCCGGCTCCCCCGCCACCTCTACCGGGAGCTCTACTCGTTCGGCTGTGCTCATCCTCCGAGTAGCTGTCAGCTGACACGACATCGCGGCGCCCCACGGGAGATTCAGCGCACTCCTTGCCCGTTCTGGCGCGCTCGCGGCGCGTACCAGATGTTCCGCGCGCTTGCGTGGAAGACTGGCGTGGCGCACCCGTTGTATAGCCCATAAAGACCCTCTTTTTGGTTCCAGCTTTCTTTCCGCTCTAATCGCTTACAACGAGAAAGACGCGGGCTGGCGGATGAAAGTGTGACAGTTCGAAGGAGACGAGCGAGGTGAACACACGGAATTCGGAGGAGGCATGGATAGGAGAAAAGGATGTGGAGGTCGTCCATGTCTGACGTGTAAATTGCACTCTCTCCAATGCTGGCTTGCTGTTGCTCGAGCAGAGAGGAGGGGAATGGTGGCTGCAGGGGAAGGCTTTCTTGCTTGGCTTGGCTCTGTACTGTGCCACCACGCGGGGCGACCTGACCTGGAAGTTGTTGGCAGGACAAGGGCAAGGAGACAAGGAGCCACCACCACCAGCTGGTGCGGGCAGCACCCTCGAAAAGCTGGTTGTGAAACTGCCCCAAAATGGGAGTACCAAAGGAGGTGAACCCGAGGTTCTCCTTGGAAACATGCCAGACCGAGCCAAACCAGGCCAGATTGGCTCTGACCATACCATTTCCCGTCACTCTACTCAAACCAGAGCAAAGTGGGCCAAACCAGAACATTTTCACGCCGAACCAGACAGCGATTGGTCCAGGAATCCACGTCACACGATTCTCTCAAAATGCCATTCGCTGTCGATAGATACCCCAGTCGGCCAGAAAACGTGGACTCTCCTTTCTGCGTGCAGCAGGCCCATGTAACAAACATATTCGCCAACGAAACCACGTCTGTGTACCACACCAGTCATGTCGTCAATCATTTCGCAAAACTGTCACGGACATCTCTTCGCTTGAATCTGACAGAAGCCAAGTTCTCCCCAAGATACTCAGAGAGCGAGCAGCAAGATCTATCCAACCCCAAACACCATCATACCCGATTTCCTCCCAACAGCGACGGTAGCTTATCCTCCATTGGGTCGCTGACTGACAATGATACTCACACGAACCGCCGTGCCTCGATTCGAATTGTCGGTTGGCCGTTCCCGCCAGTCTACAACGTCCACTCGATCAATCTGATCCCTAGATCTTTTTCGTAAGAAAATTATCCGACGATTGTAGCTCGCTCGGTCGATCATTGTGCTGCCAACGGCCATCCCTCCAGAAGCCAAACCCAATATCCGAATCCTATCGGAACCGCGCGGCCTAAAACGAGGAGGACCGCTCATTTTTTGTCTTCTTTCGGTAGCCTTCCAGCCAACCACGAGAATGGAGTCCCACACACCCCCAGTCCGCCTCACTCACTTGGGGTTGGCTGTGGATTTTCAATCTTGCCACGCATTCGTGAACCGACGATCCAGCCAGGGATTTTTCGAGACGACATTCGACCAGGGGTTTCACAGAGCGACATTTTGACCAGTCAGTCTAGACATTCGCACATTCATTTGACCATTGCCGTAGTCGTAGGTGAACGAACGTTGTCGTAGATGAAGAACATTGCCATTTGGACCGAGCAACTGTGTCAGCTCGTTCACACACGCGATTAGCGACAAGCCTCACGCGCATCAGGAGGATCGATTCGTAGACTCGCTGGTAGTTTCGCGGAGCTTCGATCTGCTCTGACGCAGGTAATTTCTTTTTCTGCTTCATTTCAGCTCGCCGTTTCTGTCTATTTGTCGTCGTTTAGCGAGTTTCTGACGCGCGTATTCTTCTTCCGCAGGCAATGGAGCATCGTCAGGTCTCTATCAATCTCGACTGTAGCTGGCCAACTTCCAACCTCAAATAGCATCTTCGTTGAAACGCCGAAACTCCACAGTACCAGAACGTGCTCTCGCGGAAAAGGTAAGCTCTTTAGTGTTTTAGCCACCTTTTGGTACATATTTCGATCAATTTCTGATTCGACGTTATTTCAATCTGTTGACAGGCAGTTGAGCATCCGAAAACCTGTCAGCGTCCGCCATCCAACGTCGACTTCCGCCACAGCTGACTAATCCGCGTCGTCCGCGGCATTCGCGACGGGTTCAAGCGCACCAGCCACTGCGAGCTCGCGATTCCGCTCGCGGTTCAAGGTACAATCTAGTACTCATAATCGCTTTCCGTCCCTTCGATTTCATAATATATATAAACACGTTTCCAGTGTTCGAATCTCACAGATGTCTACGCTGTTGACTGTTCAGGTCTGGCAGCACATCAGCCATGCTGAGACGAGCACGTGATGGCAGAAACGCGGAGTGGTGGAGTCCACCAGGAGCGCGGAGCAGCATGCGTGCGTTTGACAACGTACATGCCTCCCAGGCTTCACCTGTTGCCTGCAGCGACGTCCAATCATCAGCTAAGTGCTCACATCCCATGTCAGCCCTCGGTTCGTTTTCTTGGCATTCCGGTTTCTCCCAAAACGGGGCCACTGGTGGCAGCACACGAAATAGCCCACAGACCCTCCCCATTACTGGTAAAGGCCTCCCCCAGGTAAAGCCTTTTCCAGGTAAAGCCCTCTGGTAAAGACCGTAGTCTGTGGCTTGTGAGTGTGTGTCCACCAGTGACCCTCGTTTCGCTTTTCTTCTATTCATGCATGCGTTCCCTTCCATGATAGTGACTCCCTCCCACTCACTGCCTCTCCCTCCCCTCCCCTCCCCTCCCCTCCCCTCCCCTCCCCTCCCCTCCCCACCCGTCTATTCCCCTCCCCTCCCTTCCCATTCCCCCCGTTTCAACACCCCCTCGCAGGAGCTCAAGAGCAGCGCTGCTGGTCGTCTGAGGCGCCATGCCATGCCTGCTGCCCATGCTGCTTCAACTGCCTCCTGCTCTCACGCCATCAGCTAAGTACCCGTTCCTCCATGCCCTCACCCTTGCCTGTCACACCGTTTCCTTCGTATCATCTGCTGTTGCACCGTCCTCTTGAAACTTCGCCACTGGTTGTGCACTGCTCGCATGCTACAGACCTCTCTGCTTCAGGTAGTTCCCTCAGGTGCAGGTAACCTTGTCAGGTGCAGGTACACCCCTCAGGTTTTTTTTCAGGTGCCCTTGGGTCTGCAGCTTGTGGCCGTGCCTCCACCAGTGGCTCCTCCCTCTTCTCTTGCGCTGGATTTGAAGTCATGGTTACCCTTTCAACTTGCTCCCACCACCGTGCTCTCACTAGCTCTGTGTGTGCGCATTGCAGGTGGCGGGGAGGGGTGTGGGGTCTACGCCGACGCTCCCTCACGCCCCTCCCCTGTGGCCGTGCAGGGACTCGTGGGGACGGGAGGGAGGCAGCACTGCAGCATGGCAGTTCCACTGCAGCAAGGGAGAGTATTGGGATGGGCATGGCCTCTCAAGGTGAGCTCCTTACCTCTCTCAAGATGGACATACACTGTCGTTTCTGCTGTTGCACGTGTGTTTGACACTTTTCTCCATTGCAACCCCTCTTACTTTCGGCTGCCTTTCCTTTCCTCCCTGCCCTCCCTTCCCTATCAGGCCTGCACAAGCCAATGGGAGGGCAGCAGGCGAGCAGCAGGCGAGGGGAGCACCAGGGCGGGCAGCAGGAGCGCGGGCAGCGGGGCAGCAGCGCCGGCCTCATCAACGGTCGAGGTTGCAGTATCGCCCCTGCCACCACACTCCACTTGAGCCCACTCCCCCTCAGGTTCAGGTTCAGGTTCAGGTGCAGGTTCAGGTTGGTAGCGGCTCTTGTGGGGTTGTGGTTGGCGTCACATGCACTGTCGTTTCTGCTGTTGCACGTGTGTTTGACACTTTTCTCCATTGCAACCCCTCTTACTTTCGGCTGCCTTTCTTTCCGCGCCTTCCTCCCTGTCCTCCCTTCCCTGCCAGGCCTTCACAAGCCAGGGGGAGGGCAGCAGGCGAGCAGCAGGCGAGGGGAGCACCAGGGCGGGCAGCAGGAGCGCGGGCAGCGGGGCAGCAGCGCCGGCCTCATCAACAGTCGAGGTTGCAGTATCGCCCCTGCCACCACACTCCACTTGAGCCCACTCCCCCTCAGGTTCAGGTTCAGGTGCAGGTTCAGGTTCAGGTTGGTAGCGGCTCTTGTGGGGTTGTGGTTGGCGTCACATGCACCGTCTTTTTTGCACTCGCACTGCTGCCAGAGTTTTCTCGTTCAAAAGAGTCACTCCCTCCCACCTGCCTCTTACTTTCTCTCTATCTCTCTCTCCCTTCTCTGCCTCGCAGGTCCGTCCCTTCAAGCCCCGCTCGCCCTGCCCACTCTCCATTGAAGCACCCCCTCCGCCTGCGCTACACGATCAGCTAAGTACCCGTGCCCGCACACTTGCCTGCAGCATCGTTTCGTTTGTTTCATCTGCTGTTGCACCGTCTTCTTGAAACAACGCCACGCGGTTGAGTACCGCTCACATGCTACAGACCCCACGATTTAGGTAATTCCCTCAGGTGCAGGTAACCCTCTCAGGTGCAGGTACACCCCTCAGGTTTTTTTTCAGGTGCCCTTGGGTCTGCAGCTTGTGGCCGTGCCTCCACCAGTGGCTCCTCCCTTCTCTTGCGCTGGATTTGAATTCAGTATTACCCGTTCACCTTGCTTCCACCACCGTGCTCTCACTAGCTCTGTGTGTGCAATTGCAGGTGGCGGGGAGGGGTGTGGGGTCAACACCGACGCTCCCTCACGCCCCTCCCCTGTGGCCATGCAGGGACGCGCACGTGAGGGCTGGGAGGAGGGAGAAAGCTGGTGGTGCTGCAGCTGCCTTGAGCTCGACCTCACGCCATCAGTTAAGTAACTCTCCTCCATGCCCTCACCTCACCGTTGCCTGCCGCATCGTACCTTGCCGCAATTCCAATTTCTGGTCGTGCTTTCGCCCTTCCCTTTCAAATCATGCCACTGGTTGAGTGAAGTTCACATGCCACAGACACCCGCACTTCAGGTAACCCACTCAGGTATGCAGGTAATCCCCTCAGGTGTGCAGGTAACCCTCTCAGGTGCAGGTAACCCTCTCAGGTGCAGGTAACCCTCTCAGGTGCAGGTTCCCTTGGTGTCTGTGGCGTGCGGCCTTGCCTCACCCGTGGCCCTCCCTTCTCTTCCAATTCTGGCAGTTTTTAGTTTGTGACTTGTGCTTGCACCCATGCCATGCATACTGACCGCTGCCGTGCGTGTGCATTGCAGGTGGAGGGGAGGGGCGTTGGGGTCTACACCGACGCTTCCCCACGCTCCTCCCCTGTGGCCATGCAGGGACTCGTGAGGACGGGAGGGAGGCAGCACTGCAGCAGATGGCAACTACTGTCACAAGAGAGAGTATCGGGATGGGCTCGGCCTCTCAAGGTACATCGTCTTTCTCCTTGTCCTCAAGCTCGTTTTCTGCTGCTCGTTTCTCTTCACTCTTAGCATCCGTGCCTCCTCTGCTGCTCAAGTTTCTGCTTCGCCCTTGCTTGCGCCAAGACCTGCACTCAATCGACCCCTGTCCGTCCCTTCCGTTCTGCCCCCTTCCAGGTCACTCGCAAGTCAACAGCGGAAGCAGCTGGAGCAGCAGGGAGGGGAGGTGGAGCGCACAAGGATCAGGGGAGGGAAGGGAATGAGTCAACATCTTCTGCTGCCAGTTAAGTGCCTTTTCCTCCCTGGAATCACCCTTGCTTGCTGCTTTTTCCTCACATGTGTTGGCTGATTCGTTTTCGCATGTGCTTCCTTGTTTTTTCCTTGAAAAACTGCCACTGGTTGAGCCTTGATTTGCAAGCCACAGACTACCACCTCCCTTTCTGTTGCTAAGCCCCTCAGGTTAAGCCTGCCCTAGCCCTTACAACCCCTCAGGTTACCCCCTACTTTCAGGTTCACTTTTCAGGTGTCCCTTGATGGTCTGTGGCTTGTGATTCTTCCCTCCACCAGTGGCCCCTTCCCTCCACTTCCTTGCATTTGAAGTTCCAGCTGTCATGTCAGCCTTGTGTTATGATTGCACACTGACTATCTCTGCTTGTGTGCATTGCAGGTGGAGGGGAGGGGCGCTGGGGTCAACACCGACGCTTCCCCACGCCCCTCCCCTGTGGCCGTGCAGGGACTCGTGGGGAGGGGAGGGAGGCAGCACTGCAGCAGATGGCACTTGATGCCACAAGGGAGAGTATCGGGGTGGGCTCGGCCTCTCAAGGTATGTCAACTTCCTTCTTACCCTCCAACTCCCTCAAAGTTCGTTTTCTGCTGCGTATCCCTTCATTCTTAGCATCAGCGCTTCTGGCTTGTCGTTTCGACATGTTCCTGCTTCATCCTATGTGCACTTCGAAACACTTCACAACTCTTGTCACGCCACACCTCACTCTTTGTCTCTCTCTCTCCTCCTTTCTGCCCGCCACCAGGTCACATGGCATCACTATCGAAGAATGCAGCTGAGTAGCAGACCGGCAGCAGCAGTTGCAGCAGCAGAAGCGGAGCAGCAGCAGCGGTAGCAGCAGCGGGGGTTGGGGGGCTAGGGGACAGACTAGGCTAGGTCGAGTCATGGTATGCAAGGTGTGGTAACAGGTGAGGTATGGTTACAGGTCAGGTATTCTGACCCCCTCCTTTCTTTCTTTCCGCATCTCCCCCGCAGCCTGAGGGTGGGAGCACTGGAGCAAGGGCGGAGTGTGGAGTCGTCCCTCTCACTCACCTCCTCTTCTCTCCCTCCTCCCTCCCACCCAACAGCACCCTGCCTGGACCACAGAGGAGTTCCCCCCCTCTCTCTTAATCCCCCCTCCCCCTTCCCAGCAGCCTCAGGCATCATGGCGCTGCACGGCTCTGGTAGGTACATACAGGTAAGTAGAGGTAAGCAGGCATGGGGTGAAGGGATGGGAAGGGATGGGATGGGGAGGGAGGGGATGGGGAGGGATGGGATGGGGAGGGAGGGGATGGGGAGGGATGGGATGGGGAGGGATGGGATGGGGAGGTATGGGATGGGGAGGGATGGGGAGGGATGGGATGGGGAGGGATGGGATGGGGAGGGATGGGATGGGGAGGGATGGGGAGGGATGGGATGGGAAGGGATGGGATGGGGAGGGATGGGATGGGGAGGGATGGGATGGGGAGGGATGGGGAGGGGAGGGATGGGGAGGGGAGGGATGGGATGGGGAGGGATGGGATGGGGAGGGATGGGGAGGGATGGGATGGGGAGGGAGGGGATGGGGGGGAGGGGATGGGGGGTGGGATGGGATGGGGAGGGATGGGATGGGGAGGGATGGGATGGGGAGGGATGGGATGGGGAGGGATGGGATGGGGAGGGATGGGATGGGGAGGGATGGGATGGGGAGGGATGGGATGGGAAGGGATGGGATGGGGAGGGATGGGATGGGGAGGGATGGGATGGGGAGGGATGGGATGGGGAGGGATGGGATGGGGAGGGATGGGATGGGGAGGGATGGGATGGGGAGGGGGGGAAAAGGAGGGAGGGGATGGGGAGGGAGGGGATGGGGAGGGAGGGGATGGGGAGGCAGGGGATGGGGAGGCAGGGGATGGGGAGGGAGGGGATGGGGAGGGAGGGGATGGGGAGGGAGGGGAGGGGAGGGGAGGGGAGGGGAGGGGAGGGGAGGGGAGGGGAGGGGAGGGGAGGGGAGGGGAGGGGAGGGGAGGGGAGGGGAGGGGAGGGGAGGGGAGGGGAGGGGAGGGGAGGGGAGGGGAGGGGAGGGGAGGGGAGGGGAGGGGAGGGGAGGGAAGGGGAGGGAAGGGGAGGGAAGGGGAGGGAAGGGGAGGGAAGGGGAGGGAAGGGGAGGGAAGGGGAGGGAAGGGGAGGGAAGGGGAGGGAAGGGGAGGGAAGGTATGATGCTGTATGGTATAGTACTGTTTGTTATGTTGCTGTCTGGTATGATGCTGTGTGATACTGTCAGCACGTTGTGTGGTATGTTGGTGTGTGTCATGATCCTGGTGTGTATGGTATGATACTTTATGGTATGTTGGTGTATGGTACGAGACTGTATGGTATGATACTGTTATGTTCGAATACTGGAAGGTATGATACTGTATGTTTGGTATGTGGAATGATGCTCTATGATGGTATGACACTGTAAGTTACTGTATGGCGTGAGACTATATGGTATGATAGTGGAAGGTATGGTGCTATGTGTTATGTGGCTGTATGTTATGATTCTGTAGTATCATAGAATGTTGTGTTATGATGCTGTATATTGTATGTTATGGTACTAAAAACTTCATGGTTTGATACTGTATGATACTGTCTGCATGTTGTGTGGTATGTTGGTGTGTGTTATGATACTGTGTGGCATGTTAATGCGTGGCATGATACTGTCTGCATGGTGTCTGATGTGAGGTTTTGGCAGAGCATTGTGTGGGATGTCATGGTTTTGCATGTCATTGTGTTCATGCCATAGCATGGTTTGGGGTTGTCCCATGCTGTGGGATGCGATAATCTGCATTTGCATGGTTTTGCATGCCATGCTGTGGTGTGCCTTAGTATGCCATGCTGTTGTTCAGTGTGTGCCTTGGGTGCCATTGTGTGGTGTGCCATTGTGTGGTGTGCCACCTTTTGGCATGTTATGATGTGGCATGTTATGATGTGGCATGTCATGGTGTGGCATGTCATGGTGTGGCATGTTATGGTCTGCCATGGCATGGTGCCATTTGCAGGTTGGCACCGCTGGAGGCAAGTGGAGGATGATGGAAGACGGAATGTGAGTGTGTAGAAGAGCGGTGCATTGCATTGCTTCTCCTGAGAAGCTTCATGGAGAGGAAAACGATTGTAGAGGCTGGTGAAGATGGAGGTGTAGGGCATGTAGCAAGCTCTCTTAAGATCATAAACTGGGATATACCATACTAGATCAATATTAGAGCTACTTTTCCTGCCGTAGTTTGCCGGCGTGGGCATACCTTTGTATTACACCATACAATTATAATTGTTGTTCATTACAACCTGAAAGCTTTTTTCTGCCTCGTGTAGTTAACCTTCCAGAAGTCATTGAAGCCTAATGGTCGAACCCCTGAATAGTTATGCTCGACATCCAACGTTTGCTAGGGCCCATCAATTGGTAACGCACTAACTAGATTCAAGCCTTTCACATTTCTAAATGTCAGGTTGCTTAACATATTGACTTTGTTCCAATGCAGTGTAACACTTCTCATTATTTAAGTGTTGTCACACAACGAGATCAAAATATGCGTGCGTGGGTGACGCGTCCCCTCCCTCGATCGATTTATGCCCTCGATCGATCGAGTGACAGGTACAGTGTCGCAATTGACAGGGTAACCAGATTTCGAGAAGGCTTGCGAATGTACAGTATTTTGGCGCTCAACGATCTTGTCACCTGTCAGAGGTCCACTGGTGATCCCCGATTGATTCTAGGGAAGGGTTACAGGCACGTCGGCCTGGGGGGTTATGGGCGCACTCACCCGCCATACAAACAAGCCCATTTATCCCAGTGGGACATCACCTCCCCTGATGACGATCGATGTGCCTTCCTGGCCACACCGATCTCGGCTTTTGTAGGATCGACAGTTTTCCCCCCTTAATTTTTCGATCCTGTCACCCAGGGCTCGCGATCGATCCGCGACTGTCACCTCCTACCAATCCCGCCCCAATCCTGCGATCGGTGTGCCCGATCGGTTTTCCGCAGCGATCTCGCGATCGATCTAGGGAGGGGACGCGTCCTTAGCTCTACAAAGGTCCCCGATCGGTGATGCTGGCCCAAATCAACAACGCGTATGGCGCGGGCGGTACAGTTTCTCCCCATTCAGGCCAAACCGGAACATATTCACACCGAACCAAACCAAACCGACCCCTGAAGCATAGCTTCTTGCCAGCAATTGGTCGATGGGGCCACGATTCTCTCATTTGCTGTCAATGCCCACGTCAGCCACAAATGTGAACCCCCCCATCTGTCTTCAGCAGGCCCGTGTAACAAACATTTCGCCAACGACAGTACGTCTGTGTACCACACCAACAGTTTCGTCAATCATTTCGCTGAACCGTCACAGGTGTCTCTTCGCTTGAATCTGACAGAAGCCAAGTTCTCCCCAAGATACTCAGAGCGAGCAGCAACATCTATCCAACCCCAACTCCATCATACACAATTTCCTTCCAACGGCGACGGTAGCTTATCCTCCATTGGGTCGCTGACTGACAATGAAACTCACACGAACCGCCGTGCCTCGATTCGAATTGTCGGTTGGCCGTTCCCGCCAGTCTACAACGTCCACTCGATCAATCTGATCCCTAGATCTATTTTGTAAGAAAAACCATCCGACGATTGTAGCTCGCTCGGTCCCTCATTGTGCTGCCAACGGCCATCCCTCCAGAAACCAAACCCCAATGTCCGAACCCTGTCGGAGCCGCGCGGCCTAAAACAAGGAGGACCGCTCATTTTTTTGTCTTCTTTCGGTAGCCTTCCAGCCAACCACGCGAATCGAGTCCCACACACCCCCAGTCCGCCTCACTCACTTGGGGTTGGCTGTGAATTTTCAATCTCGTCAGGCATTCGTGAAACGACAATCCAACCAGGATTTTTTCGAGACGACATTTCGAGCAGGGGGTTTCACAGAGCGACATTTTGACCAGTCAGTCTAGACATTCGCACATTCATTCGAACATTGCCGTAGCCGTAGATGAACGAACGTAGTCGTAGATGAAGCACATTGCCTTTTGGACCGAGCAACTGTGTCAGCTCGTTCACACACGCGATTAGCGACAAGCCTCACGCGCATCAGGAGGATCGATTCGTAGACTCGATGCTCGTTTCGCGGAGTTTCGATGTGCTCTGACACAGGTAATATCTTATTCTGCTTCATTTCAGCTCGCCGTTTCTGTCTATTTGTCGTCGTTTAGCGAGTTTTTGACGCGCGTATTCTTCTTCCGCAGGCAATGGAGCATCGTCAGGTCTCTATCAATCTCGACTGTAGCTGGCCAACTTCCAACCTCAAATAGCATCTTCGTTGAAACGCCGAAACTCCACAGTACCATAACGTGCTCTCGCGGAAAAGGTAAGCTCTTTAATGTTTTAGCCACCTTTTTGTACATATTTCGATCAATTTCTGATTCGACGTTATTTCAATCTGTTGACAGGCAGTTGAGCATCCGAAAACCTGTCAGCGTCCGCCATCCGACGTCGACTTCCGTCACAGCCGACTAATCTGCATCGTCCGCTGCATTCGCGACGGGTTCAAGCGCACCAGCCACTGCGAGCTCGCGATTCCGCGCTCGGTTCAAGGTACAATCGAGAACTCACATTCGCCTTTCCGTTTGATCGCGCGCTTATAATACATAAAACACGTTTCAGGTATTCGAATCTCACAGATCCGGCGCGTGTATGCTGTTGACGTTTCAGGTCCGGCAGAACATGCTGAGACGAGCACGTGATGGCAGAAACGCGGAGTGGTGGAGTCCATGAGGAGCGCGAAGCAGCTTGCGTGCGTTTGACAACGTACATGCCTCCCAGGCTTCAACTGTTGCCTGCAGCGACGACCAATCATCAGCTAAGTGCTCACATCCTATGTTAGCCCTCGGTTCGTTTTCTTGGCATTCCGGTTTCTCCCAAAACGAGGCCACTGGTGGCAGCACACGAAACAGCCCACAGACCCTCCCCATTACTGGTAAAGCCCTCCCCCAGGTAAAGCCTTTTCCAGGTGATTCCTTTGGTAAAGACCGTAGTCTGTGGCTTGTTAGTGTGCGTCCTCCAGTGGCCCTCCTTTCGCTCTTCTTCAATTTCACCACGCGTGCATCCATTCTCTTTCGCACTGTGCCTCCATCCCATCCCACTCACTGCCTCTCCTTGTGCACCCCTCCCCTCCCCTCCCCTCCCCTCCCCTCCCCTCCCCTCCCCTCCCCTCCCTTTCCTCCCCTCCGTCCCCTCCCTCGCTTCCAGGCCTCATCGCGAGCAGCAGTGGCAGGCGGACGGACGTGGGGCAGCATCAGCGTTCTCCTCATGCCTCAAGCCACTGGCGGCAGCAGACAACACCTGCTCTCCACCCAACCCACCCACAGCTAAGTACCCCGCCCTTCCTCTCTTCTCTCACCGCTCGCACTGTGTTGCTTTGCTTGTCATGCTTGCACCATGCATTACACTCACTTTTTCACTGCTCTTTGTCACACCCATTAGACCTCCCTCCCCCAAGGTGGTAGGTATATTCTTTCTTGGTACAGCCTCAGGTATTTGTTTTAGTTTGGTTCAGCCGGTACGAGGTCTCTTGGGTGTGCCACTGCAGCAGTCCATTCATGCACGCATCATGCTTGCGATTGCTGCACTCTTCATTTTCACTTGTCTTGGCTTTGTTCCTCATTCCTCTCCCCACTCCTCTGCGCCCCCTTCACTTCCCCGTTTTCTCCCCCCCTCCTCCCTTCCTCTCTCTCTCCGGACCTTCCCCCTTCTCGTCCCAGCAGGTCGCTCACACGGGAGTGGCAGTGGCGGGGGACATGGAGTGCACAGGCAGCAGCTGCTCTCCACCCAACCCACCCACAGCTAAGTACCCCGCCCTTCCTTTCCTCTCCCAACCCTCTCACTGTGTTGCTTTGCTTGTCATGCTTGCACCATGCATTACACTCCCATTTTCACTGCTCTTTGTCACACCCATTAGACCTCCCTCCCCCAAGGTAGTAGGTATATTTTTTCTTGGTACAGCCTCAGGTATTTGTTTTAGTTTGGTTCAGCTGGTACGAGGTCTCTTGGGTGTGCCACTGCAGCAGTCCATTCATGCACGCATCATGCTTGCGCTTGCTGCACTCTTCACTTTCGGTTGTCTTGCCTTTGTTCCTCACTGCTCTCCCCACTCCTCTGCGCCCCCTTCACTTCCCCGTTTTCTCCCCCTCCCTCCCTCCCCTCTCTTTCCCAACCTGCCCCCTCTCGTCCCAGCAGGTCGCTCACACGGGAGTGGCAGTGGCGGGGGACATGGAGTGCACAGGCAGCAGCTGCTCTCCACCCAACCCACCCACAGCTAAGTACCCCGCCCTTCCTTTCTTCTCCCAACCCTCGCACTGTGTTGCTTTGCTTGTCATGCTTGCACCATGCATTACACTCCCTTTTTCACTGCTCTTTGTCACACCCATTAGACCTCCCTCCCCCAAGGTAGTAGGTATATTTTTTCTTGGTACAGCCTCAGGTATTTGTTTTAGTTTGGTTCAGCCGGTACGAGGTCTCTTGGGTGTGCCACTGCAGCAGTCCATTCATGCACGCATCATGCTTACACTTGCTGCACTCTTCGCTCTCACATCACTCTTTGCTTCTTTCCTAACTGCTCTCTCCACTCCTCTGCCCTCCCTTCACTCCCCCGTTTTCCTCCCCCCCTCCTCCCTTCCTCTCTTTGCCCCGATCTGCCCCCTCTCGTCCCAGCAGGTCACTC